GGGGGGGGGCTGCTGCTGCCATGGGGAAACACGTTTGCTCCCATTGCGCGGTGAGTGGGCAGAAACAGCAGGAAATAAAATGGGCTCTGGCTGAGAGTGAGAGATTTTCCCAGACTTGGTCTGCTGAACAGCATCAGTTTTAGCTGACGTGAAGACGAGTGTTTTGTGAGATTTACCGAGCTGCGGTGCTTCCTAAAACGCTGTTTAGAGGTTACCGGCTCGTTCTGTGTGGGGAATGTGTGAAGAGAGGACGCTGTGAGATTAGTTGATCGGACAGTCAGGCTGGAATCAGATGAAACTTTGCTCTCTGAGAGATGTTTTTGTTTTATTTCAAAACACACATGATCAAAAACACACACATTCCCCCCAAGGAGTCATTTCTTGCTGACATCCTGTCTGGTCCAGGATGGAGCTTGCTGACAGCCTTTGGGGAAGTGCTTGGTCGCTGGTTGGCGCGCCGGGAAGGACTGTTCCCTGGTGGAGGGGACCGGCGGAGGAGCGGGCCATGACATCACTGCTGCAGCTGTGGAGCGCCTCTGCTGCCGTCGCTGGCCACGGCAGTCCCTCCAGCGGCCAGAGGAGCAGGAGGAGGACTGTGATGTCACCAGGTGGCATACCGTCTCTGAGACCTCCTCGGTCCTCTGCGATTTTTCAAGGATGGTCCTGAAGTTGGCCCCGAACAGCTCATCTGGGGTGATGGGGCCCTCCAGCAGGTCCCTCTGCAGCTTCTCGAGCATGGATGGCAAGAGGCGGAGCCAGGTGGTCCTCTGAGTCATGGTCGACCAGGCGGTGATGCAGGACAGGCAGACCGCAGAGGTGGCATACAAATTGTGGATGACATTGGCGGCTTTACAGAGGGAGCTCTTTGTCTCCTCCGGCAGGTCTGCTCCCTCCAGCCTCTTCAAAATGCTGAAGGTCAGCAGAGCGACATTGTTATTTGCTGCGGCCGCCTGGAATAAACACTGATGAGCTCGGTTGGAGAGCTTTGTGATCATCTGGTCGTGCTTCCCTGGAGGGACAGGTCACTGGTCCATCCTGGAAGCCTTTACCATGAACACCTCCACAAGGCTTGGCTCCAGAGGGGGAACCGAGGGAAAACTCCGCTCGGTAAAGTCATCCACTCTGCTGATGGGGGCGAAGGTGGAGACGGGTGCCTTCAGCTTGATGGGCCCAGCTGCATCCTTGTTCCAGTATGATATCACAGCTGGAAAGTGGGACCAGGTGGGGTCAGGGCGAGGAGCCGGGGCGGAGCTAAACCTTCCCGCCAGATCATCCAATCGGGGTGGAAGGAGGAGAGGGACGAAAAGTTCCTTTGTGTCAGCAGCCTCTTGGATTATGCTGGGCAGTTCCAAGAGGAGGGGGCCGACGGCTGGGAGCAAAGTGGTCACCAACATAGGAAGACCCGAGGTGGCTGAACATCCGCTCGGCCGTCCTTCTTCCGTCACTACGCTCTCCAGGAAGGAGGAGGCAGTGGGGCTGCTGCCAGCACCACCTTTTCTGGAGGAATCATCCGATTCACTGTGTGGCTTTGCGTTAAAAAAGGAGATGGTGTTGTCCAGTGAGTAGCACCTCGCCACAGAAAAATGCTCCTGGGCATTAGCCTTGAACAAATCTGCTCATCTCTGCTTCTGCTCAGGAGGGAGGAGCTCACAGGGATGGCAGGAGGTGGCTAGGTTGGCGTGGTGGAGACCCAGGCATCCTTTGCAGATGTGATGCCAATCAAAGCTCATGATGTAGCCGGACTGGCAGGACGAGCACAGGCGGATGGTGCTGGGCATCTTCTTCTTTGCTCTTTAGACAATGCTTGCTGGCTGAAGAAAAAATGGGAGCTGATTATCCGGTCTCACCGTAATTTATACGGATCGGGGGTGGGGCCCACACAGCCGGTGGGCGTGGACTAAAGTTTTCAGTGCTGCGCGCGAAGGGATAAACCCACTAGCAATAGCCTTAAAGGGTGAAGCCTATACAAAATAGAACATGCATTGCTCATTTCACATATGGCATAGAGGAATAATCTGAAGTGTAGCAGCTGTGAGAAACACCAGCATTACTTATAAGCTGTTTTATTTATTTCTTCTGGATTCCAACACAAATTGTGAACTGTGCAAGAACTCAGCAATCCAGTGCTCTGCTGCCGGCGAGTGTTATCCTAATAGAGGCATCTGTCACCGGCCCACAGTGGCTGTAATACAGAGAGACACATTAATGGTAATGATGGCCTAGCTCCTTGGGGGGAAAGGAGGCTTGGCAAGTCACAATTACTTGTTCAGGGTCGCCCTCTAATCAACTCCACTCTTCACACACGAGAGTGTCAAGTCTGCCTCAAGAGAAGGGAAGACACATCCTTGCTTTTGTAGCTCCCTTCCCTCTTGTCACGCTGTTATCAAGTAATAAAAACAGCTAAAGCTGGACTGTGTTGGTACTTCTTCACATACAATATGCCCCTGCATTCCTTCTTCTTCTTCTTCTTCTATTGGCTTCTTATCCTGGCACTTATCCCAGACTCCTCTTCATCTTCAGCTGACCAAGAACACTGATTGTAAATCGGATTGTTTTCAAATGAGGCAATCACAGAAGCACGCTGAAGTAACACAAATCAGTCGAGGGGCCGTAGCCGTGTCATTAAACATCAAGAGCCGGTATTTCTTGATTAGTGAAGGATGTGTTTTTGCTCTGTGCTGCTTCAGATACAACATCATGTCTGGGACTCCTGAGAAGATTTTGGAGCATCTGCTTGAAATGATGCGATTGGATTCTCAGTTCACAGAGTCAGGTATTGTTTGTCACAACACACCCAGAATGTCATAATATTAATCCATCAATAATTATCATTTATTGTGAAGGGTTTTTCCCTACCAAGGTGCAATGTTTTAATAATGACCACCACAGCCAATCAACACAAAAATGTCTGCACCTTACTGAATTTTACAGATGTTGAACTAAAATTTGGGGTGGTAGTAGCTGGTAGTCATTCACAACACATCCTCCAATCGCTAACAGATTTTACAATACTGCATGAAATTGCATGGGATGTTATTTTCAAGGTTTGATGAAAATAGCTACAATTTTCAACGTAAATAATTTAATCTGAACCTTTGGTCTGAAAGGCAGAGGGTGGTATGCATCCCCTCAAGGAACGACTAATAGTGTGAATGTTTATGAATCATTCACACTATTGTGATCTGTTTTTCATCCGTACATTTTTCGACATTTCTCTCGTTCCACAGTTTTTGTGCTATTTCATCAAATCATAAATCAAAACGTTCAGCTCTTTAAGGACAATCCTGCTATGACTTGTGGTATTGGTGCAACTTTAGCTTTTTGAAATATTTAGCCTTTCCTGCCATAAACATTCACACTGCATTTTTGCAGGCAATTTCTCTAGTCCTCTCTGCTTTTGCCTGTCCGAGCTGTCCTCCGCGACCTGCTCTACAGTGACCCGCTTGCTCTCATCGAAATTAGTTACACATCACAGAGCTGATCTAATCACTATCGTGTGTGGATACATTGCCTGCAGAGGTGACAGAGACATGGCCGTGCGTTTGATGGTGGCTTTGATGAGCTTTTCTGTTTCCCATCACAGACTCAGCTTTAGATGATTTTGTGCTGATGCACTGTGTCTTCATACCCAACAGTCAGCTGTTTCCAGTGCTGAGAGCCCAGTATCCTTGCTGTGCTCGTTGATGTGGTTAGCGCAGTAAAACTTATGTGAAAACCAACGTTTGCTGGAGTTGACCTTTAACAGCTGTGCAGCTACCATGCTCAGGCCTTGCAGGGCTCGGAGCAGGAGCAGCTGGACTACACTCTGACCAACAAGCGCAGGGTGATCTGCCTAGTGGTGAAATGGGCCTCTGTGCATGGAGATCACCTGCAGCAGGAGGACAGGGCCTTCCTGGAGGTCAGTGTGGTGATAATCTCTGCTGCTGGTACAAAATGGTCACAATGTCACACCAACAAACAGAAATTTAGTCAGAGATGTGTTTTTGTACAGTTTTGTTTATGTTATTTTGTTTTGCAGGAATTTCTCATGATGGTATCGAACGATGTCAAAGTGCTTCCAGCCCTCGGGGATCAACTTCCAGAATTGCAACAATTTTTAAAGAAGAAGTAAGTTTGCAATATATATATTACAAATTAAATGAACAAGAAGATTCCTCCTGTATGTGGACAGTGACTTTAAGATTGATTGTCTTCAGTTAATAATGAATGATGCACCTATCATGCAGCGCCTTGAAAAACTTTTGCACATTTTCCACTTCAAAGTTATTTACTATTTTGGGTTGGTTTATCACATAAAATCTCTGTAAAATACTTTGAAGTTTGAGGTTATAAAGTGACAAAATGTAGAGAAGTTCAAATGGTATATGCACTTTTTCAAGGCACTATAAGTTATATTTGCTCCTTTGTTTCTAATGTAATTTTTTTTAGTGCAGAAGATGCCAAATCCTCGCAGAAAAAGGTACATAGCTTTCAGAATAATGTTTTAAAGCAGACGTTTTGCTCCATGTTTGTGAATCTGAGCTCATTTTTGCCGCAGCACAAAGTCCTTTTGCGGCAGTTCAGTAGAGGAGACGAGAAGCATCAGAAATGTCAGCCCATCGGGGGTGATGATGAAAGTAAGTGAAGAACATTATTAACTAAACTTTCATTCCATGAACAAATTAATGCTTTACATGACAAACTTGTATTTTAAAAAAATGTCGTGATTTGTTAGCTCTCAGAGAATGTGCTGAGAGATGACTTTAAAAAGTTTTATAAGATATTCAGTGTCGCTTGATCCATTGTAAACCATTCAGTTATCGTTCTCATATTTATTCTGAATCATACCTCCAGTTCTGTTCAAAGTCCACTGCTGTGACCACACCTACACCACCATCCGGGTCCCTGTGGCCGCCTCGGTCAGGGAGGTCATTGATGCTGTGGCTGACAAGCTGGGGTCAGTGGAGGGTCTGATCCTGGTCGGACTCAGCTCAGCAGGAGGTGAGAGCAGCTGCAGCTACGTGAGAAGCAAATGATTGGAGACGGGAAGTACAGAGAGGGCAAACGTGCTGGTTTAATAATCCATCCTGACTGATTCAGGCGGAAACTGGTAACATTTTAAAGAAAAAAAAACACACTGTCAGTTAATGTTAAAAAAAAAAGAAGAACAAAGTCCTTTTAATACCTAAACTGTACAGTTTGCAGTGAATAAGCTCAACACAAGCAGCTCATAATACATTGAGCCTCCTTTATCTTTATAAAGTTACCGAACTGTCCAAAATGCACTCTTTTATTTTATTCTGCTGGGAATAAACAAGCACGTGACCACATCCACCAACTTTTTATAGTGGTAAACAAAAGGGTTATAAAAGTATTATATTATTGATTATTATATTTTTAACAAACCTATAGATAAAATGTTTTTCCTACATTTTTTTTAACAGAGAAGTCTATCTTCAAGCCAAATGATGTCTCTGTCTTCTCCACGCTCAGCACAAATGGACGACTCTTTGTCTGCCAGAGGGACAAGCTGGATTTGTTGGTGTGGTAAATTATGAGGAAAAACACCAGTCCTATTAAATTAAACATTATATTAACACCTCTGTGCCTTAGTTTAACCTATGCTGTGTTATATTTTCATCACATAAATTTATGGTATCTCCTAAAATGTGCATCAGTCTCTTTATGTTTGGTGATCTTGTGTTTTTTTTTTATGTGTTTGCTTTCTAGACCCCTCTACCTGAGCAGGAGGGTCCTTCCACAGGGTCCTCGGCCAGTTTTGAGTTGATGAGCTCCAAAGATGTGGCATACCACATGACCTCCTATGACTGGGAGCTTTTCCACTGTGTTCATGAGGTATTTCAGACCAACCAGGAGCACTAAAACTAATATTAGTAGTATTTCTTCTTCATTATCAGTACAGACGAGTAAAAAAGAGATGTTAAAGTATCATTCCACTGATGTGTTTTATTTTTACGTCTTTCAGCTCGAGCTCATCTATCACACATTTGGAAGGCAATATCTAAAGAAAACCACGGTGAACCTCGATTTGTTCTTGAGGAGGTTTAATGAAATCCAGTTTTGGGTGATCTCAGAGATGTGTCTGTGTCCTCAGCTGAACAAGAGGGTGCAGCTTCTGAAAAAATTCATCAAGATTGCTGCTCAGTAAGTGGAGCTCTTTCTCTTAGGAGGTCCTCGGTTATTTTTTCATTATAACCTTATTTGGTCATCTTTTCTGTTAAAGCTGTAAGGAGTACAAGAATCTAAATGCTTTCTTTGCTGTTATTATGGGGCTGAGTAACCCGGCAGTGAGCAGACTGAGTCAAACCTGGGAGGTGGGTAATAGCTGGTTTGTTCATGACATACCTGAACTGCAAGCTGACTTTTCTTTCTGTATTTTGTGCTTGCAGAAACTTCCCAGCAAATTCAAGAAGTTTTATGAGGAATTTGAAAACTTGATGGTATGATTAACAGCTTCTTTTGTTAATAGAGTGAATTTATTTTAAACATTTTCCCCCTTTGAGCCACTTTGTTTTTAACCAATAAAGTCTGCAGGTTAGAGTATGTTGTCCTCACTCAGTAATCTGACTGAGCAGATCTCAGAACAGTGTCGCTGTTTCTTTAGAACCCAACCAGGAACCACCGGGCCTATCGGCTCACAGTCTCCAAGCTGGACCCTCCCATGATTCCTTTCATGCCACTGATGATTAAAGGTCAGAGCTCTTTCTATTTTAATGTAACATCTTGCTGATCCGTTCTTTTTCTCTTCAGCACCTCTGAACAAATGTTGTCCTCTTTTCTTCTTATTTCTTCCAGACATGACATTCACACACGAGGGCAACAAAACATTTATCGACAATTTGGTCAATTTTGAGAAAATGGTGAGACGCTGCAAGTGTAGATTGTTGTCTACCAGCTGGTGTAAACCTCCTCCTCTGTTTTCCAGTTGTTTGTTGTTTATTCTAACTCTCTGTCTTGCAGCGGATGATTGCGAACACAGTGAAGATAGTGAGATATTGCAGGAGTCAAATGTTCAGTAAGTTGCATGTTACAGACCCAACGAATCACTTCAAATACACTCACTGACACAAAAGTTAAGCAACCAGAAAGAATGGTTCAGTAAGGATGTGGTTTGGTTCTCGTGCAGGATTTGCACGACTGAATTTGCAACAAGCTGCCAAGTTTAGAACAAGCAGCAGAGGATGGAAGTGATGGCAATATGAGTGGATCAATAGTGTTATCAGGCAATTGCTGGAGCAACAATCAATGAAAACAGCAAGTGAAAGTCATTATACACTTGATGCCTTGTAGATGCATTAGTCAGCATCGCTGCTTGATGGAGCTTGATAATAGTTGCACTGTGGGTGACGTCCCACTGTGCAATTCACAAGGAGATGTCACAGTGACCTGATGTTAAAACCAATGGGTACTTCAGGAGGTCCAACCACATCATGAAGGTTCCGGTTGCCCAAGACAAATCATAAAAACGAAGGACTGTCAAATTTTGCACCAAGCATCACAGAAATATGTGGCACCAGCATGTGCCATCTAGACACAGGTACTGGACACAACTTGACACAACCTGTGTCAACACCCATTGAGACTACATCGTCCCATCCCAGTAGGCTGATTAATACTAGAGCAGACAGCTGCATTTGGATCGGCATTGTCAGGATGCATGAACAATGATGACTTGTGTCATGTTCAGCAATGAATCTTCGTTCTATATTTCCATCAGTGACCATTGTATGTGTGTGCATGTTGGTGCCAAAGTAGAAATTTAATTCTGACAATGTGGGAAGACACACTGTCATGATAATGTGGGGCCTTCAGGCCACTTCTAGTAGAAACCCATCGCATGGGACACTATGATGTCTTGTCTGTGATCCATCAGTGACATCCTGCAGCTGCATATCTTATCCCTCCTGTGTCATCATTCTGGTACTGTTTCAACAAAACAACACCCATCCGCACGCAATACGTGCCTATAGACAGGCTGTGGCATATTGAAGTCCTCCCATGGTCAGCCAGGTCCATAGATTGTTGAACATGTGGGATCAGCTCAGGGATCAACCTGACCCAGTGCTGATCAGACAGATTATGGGGGACGACTTGCCTCATGAGAGGACTTCTGAATGACTTTGCCCCCTCATCAAGTCCCTGTTTTAAATCTGTTTGGGCGCTTAACTTTTTTTTAAATTAACTTGTTTTGGTTTAAATTTGAAGAAATACTCCAGGATTTAATTATCATTTGTGGCATATTTGTATTTAAATCAGGTCCAGACTCTCCGCTGGCTGGAAAGCACCACCCTGACATTTGGACTTACGTTCGTCACTTCAACGTGATTGACAACCAAAGGACACTGACGCAGCTCTCTCATGGACTTGAGCCCCGCAGGTCTTAACCGCCCAACCTTTATTCACTCTGTCACGCTGCTTCACACGACATGACGTGCGCTCACACTGATCTGAATTTAACCCAATCCAGGCAATCACATGGAGGACCTAATGAGGGAGCAGATAATGAGATATTGTTTCACTGACTTGTTAAGTCATTTATTACAGTAATCTGTGATTTTTCAACAACAGTAATTGTTGTGGGATGAAGAACCTCTCATATCGGTGTCATGCGGGTATCATATCATCTCCAGCTCAACCAGACAAAGAAAATAAGGATCTCTGAGTGGTGGGCGTCTCATTTTGTAGATTAATGTGTAAAATGTAAGATGTAAACACTGTGTGATGATTTAAAAAGAATAAATATTCCTGCTATGCATGTTTTTTTTTTGTATCAAACTATCTTTATACTGTTTTGTTGTATTATGATTGTAAATTATTTTTATTCTAACTTCAGCATGGGGATATTTAAAATCATGTAAGCACCTTTCTCTTGCAAAGCCTCTAAAATAATAATGTCTCTGGGTAAAATGAAACATTTTACAAATATTTATGTTCTATAGTTACTCATGCTTTATTGTATTAGTAAGCTGTTTGCAGTCATAGCATGTCAACTTTTGTAAAATTTGAACTTTTATGAGCAGCTTGTGTTTTTACTAAGTGAAATATGTCCTTTTATATAAAAGCAGAACTTTATTAACATCTCAGACTTGTTTTTTTTTTTTTTTTGTGCAACTTGTTCATGTTATAGAGAATATTGTCACTCGAGGAAAGCAGAGGACCAAAGGAAACAGGTTGTAATAAAAAGTATAATGTCCTATATAATGCTGGGACTTTAGTTTTAGTTATTTGATGTGTTTAATCTGACTTGAAGGTCCAGTCAGGTTTACTATAAAGTATGTTAAAACACCTGCTGGTGAACAAAATGCTGTACATACAATAATAAAGAAGCACTAAATAGCATAAGAAAATAACAAAAGATTGAAAACCTCAATAATAAATGTAATAAAATGATGACATGACTGACAAAACTCAACTGTCAAGCTGAATAATAAAATAAGTTAAAAAAACAATTATACAAGTTGATTTTCACAATGAAACCTCTAACATTCAGGCATAACTTAAGTACAACAGCTGTAAAGTATCAACTATTTACTCTAAGAGTAAATTAGTTTGAAGATTCACGTCCAAGTTCTGTTTATTTGTCATATACAGGTTAACACAAAATTAACAGTACGATGATATATTTGTGATGAGAAGAATCAATTTGACTCACTAAAAACAAAGAACAAACAAGAAAATACTAAAGCATGCAATAAGGGTACAACATAAAGTACCAAAACATGAAAAAGTAAAATATAATATTTACAAGGTCCTAAAGAGAGACAGTAAGCAACAACAACATGGTAGAATATAACTGTGCAAGCAGGATGAATTTGTATAAGTATTTCACTGGCAGTAATATAAGATAAAATACACAATATATATTGCACATAACTCACAAACTACACAGTTTGTGTGACTGTGCACATCTGATTTAATCTAAGATGAACATCTATGGAGTAAAATTGTTTTATTGCAACACATTGAGCATTGTAATAAGTAAGTAAGTAAACTTTATTTATATAGCACTTTTCATAGATACAAGCACAAAGTGCTTTACAAAAATACAAAATACAGGCTTAAAATACAACAAAAACAATAACAGCTGATTAATTGTCTTTTATATTGTTTTTTTTACTTTTTGACAAATTGGCATTTCCTCATGATTTATACTATTTAAACAGCCACTTTGCACTTCTACTACTTTTAAAATAATTTAAGTTTTCATTTTTTTATCATATTTTATAGTTTGTATCATTTAATTTACCCAGGTGTTCCTTACAAGATGAACATGGCTAAAAAACACAAAAACAATTTTTAGAGCTGTATTTGTTAAAAAATATATATATATAATTGAAAAACATTACAAGTTTATATTACAACAGTTTTTTTTCTTTAGTGTTTTGTATGTTTAATTGAAAATATACAGAGCTCAAAGTTGAGAGGTCAAGGTCGAGAGCTTCAGATCTTTTTGCAAGATGTTCCAGGAAACAGGAGCAGAGTAGGAGAAGACTCTTTTGCCTAGTTCAGTCCGCATTGAGGGGACACTGCATGTAATAATGTCCTGAGAGCGCACGCTGTAGCTGCACTCATGCAGAGACATGTAGGAGGAGATGTGTTATTTTTTTTCCCTCTCTGTGCTCTGGTGAAGACAGACGTGTCCTCTTCTGCTCCGTCCCCTCGCTTCCCTGCTTTGCTCTCTTTTGTCTTGTGAACCCTTCAAAGAGCCACTTTTTTTTAACCTGCATCTCTTCCTAATTCAAAGGATTTTGATCAGCTGGTCTCTCAACAAAATTGATCAACTTCTTCCAACAGGAATCAGGGTAAGGAGGACCCTCTTACCTAGACGGAAACAAATTGGATTCATGATGACAACTGGATTTTGCTGTTTAGGTTGGTGAAATCAGGATTGCCTACAAATTTGTGTGGATGTGTCAAAGCTTGGCAGCACTCAGACTGAATTATGTGGAGCTGCGTCAGAACTGCAGCAGGCTGTTATCAGGACTGTGAACTTTCTGGCAGCACCCATGAATGGTTGGGAATAATCTTGGAGAAAGCTGTGAGCTCGACTTTCGGCGTAAGGAATCAATTCGGCTGTTTGGAGTTTCCATCAGATGAATATACCAGTGAGACTTTAAAAGGCAGAAATGGCAATTTACAAGTTCTGCCTGACCCTAACTGTGGCCTTGACGGCGGACTTATCTCAACTCCTCCTGGCATGTTTAGGAAAAACAAAGACGCTTTGTCTGTCTCCTCACCCTTCCCTTCCCCAAGGCCGTGGACATATGACGGAACTTCAGCCGAGCTGATGATAATAACACCTCTTATCTGGACAATGGCTGAGAGGAGGGCTCTGGACTATGCTACGACCTTCCCTTAAAAATTCAGTGTCTTCACCGGCCTATATGTATCATGTGCTATGCTGTGGTAGGTTTTTGTGATGCCTCAAATCATGCCCTGTCTAGGACAAGGTGTGAGAGATTTTTTTAACACCGTCTCTCATGTTTTCTTCCCTTTTCTTATCTAAGCAAAAATATCATTCTGAGGAAGAATAAGAAGGCCGTGCTTATAGCAGCAGCTTTGTGCACTACGTCCATCTTTCGGACGACTGTATGTACATGTTCTCGTTGTATCTCGGTGCAATGATAATAAAGCTTACTCTGATGTATGAAGGCAGCAGACCAAGAAGTATATAAGAATATTAAGAATTAAGAATATTAGTGTTGCCTGAATTACTCAAAGTCACACTGGCAAAAGAAACCAAAGAGGGATCCATCAAGCAGGTTTACACTTTAGAAAATGCTTATTCAGAAATAAGACAAAATAACATTTTTTTTAACTTCACAGTTATTGCTTAAACTTGTACAACTCAAGTTAATTAAGAAATGGAGCCTGTGATTAAACAAAGACAAATTTAGACAATTTTATCCATTAAATAATTACCTAAAATATTTATATGAGTCTATGTGGTTCAAAGGGATTAACCTGTATACATAATTGGGGTGTTTACAAGAGGACAACTGTTTATCATAAATATTTATATCACTCATATTATAATTTAATTAAATATGCAGACACTTGTTATTGTTTGTTGCTGGTAAAAAAAACAACCCAACAACATAATTATAAGTTTTTGACACTTTTACGCTCATGTGAGTGCTTTCATCTGTGAACTGTTTTAATGTCACGTGATCCAAACTGGATGGTCATGTGACAAAAAATTTCTAGAAAGTTGTTTAGCACTTAGGATTGCAGCTCAGCAAAAAAAACAACAACAAAAAAAACCCCGAAACGTTACGTTTACTTTCGTTTTCATGAAGAAATGCTCAGATTATGTTGTAAAAACAAATATGTTAGAAAATAACCTGCGCTGTCATGGATGTAGTTCCACCGTCGACCAGCAGGGGGCGATGTTGTCATCAGTTTGGATGAGCAAACAACATGCCCGCCGAGGCAGAGCAGCTGAGATCCGAGGTGTTGTGCAACCTGAAAAACCACCTCCGGAGCGCGTGAAGAACTCCTCTTGAAATGAAAGGACGTCACACGTGATATTCCGGAACTCTGAACTCTTTCTTGTTTTAGTGGAACCCGACTGGACCACCTCCAGAGACCCTCTGCTGTCAAGCTGGAAGCTGCTCACTGAATGTCGGTATGTTTACATAAGGAGTTACAGACTAGAAGTTTGAATGGTACCATTAGATGAAGACAAGAAGTTGTGGCTGAATGCATATCTTGCAAACTACACGTGATGTCATGTAGATGTAAAATGTTGGGCTCCTGGGTGTAATAAATAGTTAATAAACGTGTAAATCTCACAGAAAGAGTTTTGACTATAGGCGTAGCCACTCATTTTACTGGGACGTGTCCCCTGGATACATTTGATGATGTGCCCCAGTAAAAGTTCATATATTTCAGAAACTTACATGCATTTTCACAAATCAAAAGAGTTATAGTTCTAACATAAACATGTCCAGCGTTCTGCGATGAAACATTTTAAAAACTTATATTATCATAGCTTTTTTTTATTTGAATTCATGGAGACCTAACATGGTCTGACAGGAAAATGCAGTACTTGTTGAAACAGGGTGCTTACAAAGTATTTACATACAGCAGGGGCGATTCTAGAAACTGACAGGTGCTCAGCCCCCAGTGTTGACAATGCCTTTTGGCTTGAACAATGCAGTGGCCATGGTGGCACACTGTTGTGCTGCTGGTGATGGGGGTCCTCCACCAGAAAATTCTGAATAAAGTAGATGTCATTTCCTGCATTCTGGTGTATTTTAACAGGTTTTTGAACATCTACGTTCACCTGCATTAGTAGACACTTGCTTCGATAACTACTTTAGAGAGCTCGGCACAACAAGAAATGGCGCTATAAGCAAGCGACGCGCAATACAGACACACTAGCTAAGATGATCCAGATGTCGTGCTCCGTTTTACGTTCCACAAACTAATAAACACTTCGTACAAAATCAGTTTAGTGGTAACTGATCATAACAAAACAAAGACTAAAAACTTATGCAACCAGATGTTACACATCTACATTTAAAACACACAAAACAAAGCACAACTAGCTTTAAGCACTGTCTAATTTAACCATTAAGCATACAGTGTAATTATGACTAAAAATGGAGAGTTTGCCTGTAGTTACCTTCGTACAGATGAGATGGGGTAGAGGTAGGGCAGCCGACTCATGACCTGAAAGTCCCAGGTTCGATCCCCAGCCATTCACGCATGTTGCGGTGTCTCTGAGCAAGACACCCAATCCCTAGTTGCTCCCTGGGCACTTACATAGCTGCCCACTGCTCCACCTGGGTGTATCCCATGTGCAATGGGTTAAATGCAGAGAACTAATTTCACCATTGTATGGGAGCGTATAATGATGACAACACATAGCACTTTACTTACATGTGGTACTTCCTGTTTATCACTGTTGTATTCAGCTGCTCATGAGGTCGGCCGCAGGGTTTTATCATCTTTTACATGTTTCCAGACTCACTTTGTGAAATGGAATAAACTGTATTCCACTCTTAACGCTCACCTGTTTGAATTACATGTTCCCTACTGACAACGTTTAACCATTTTTTTCGGATGATTTTTCATGAACTCCCTCTGACCGCAAATCGTTCGAAATGCAAAACCCCGGCAATGTTGTCGGAGAAAAAGGGGTAGAGCTCCTGTAACCTGGAACACCTTAGTTGACGACTTTGACCACTCCAAGGGATTTTAAACAACTATTAAGTTCTTTGCAAAAACCAATGCAAACGTGTTCCTGTTTTTAGTATTTGACATCACTTTATAATGTAGCCGTTTTTGTTCCATTTAAACATCATTTATTTTATTTACTTTTCATTTTATATGCTAAATGATTGTCTATTGCTGTCTGTACCTCATCTGCGTTCTTTGTTTAAAACAGGTCTCTCTTGCAAATGAGTCTTCGAGGCTCAATGAGACTAACCTGTATAAGTAAAGGTTGAATGAAAGGGGCGTTTCTCTTCGGAACAAATTGAAATCGCTGATTGGTCAGTTGCTGACAAGCCTACTGAACTGATGGCGTTGAGGATCTGACTCATGCAAAAAAATCTTTTGGTGTAGGGTATATAATATTTTGGTGAATCTAAAGTTTGAGAATAAGCTTCCTTACAAAACCCTAATGATAGTTTCTTTGTTTTTCAGAACTTGCTTGAGCACCCCTAAAAAAGGCTAAAATTGCCACTGACATACAGCGTACTTACAGAGCACTTACACAGTATCCTATTTCAGGGGGTGTTACAAGGTACCTGGGAGGTACATACAGTATATGTTAATTCCAGGGCACTCACAGGGATACATACAGGGTATTTATGGGATCACAAACAGGGTACAAAAACAGTTTTACTAGGCAGGTACTTTACCATATGCATGTACATACAGGGTATTTTCATGATATGTGTGGGGGTAATTACAGGGTACCTATGGGTATACGTACATGATAGTTACAGGGCACCTACAAGGTATGTTTGGGGGTACTTACAAAGTACCTTTAAGAACTGGCCTGTTTTATGAAGTTATTTGTTACACTGTGCTGTGCCCCATTATGGTATATCTAGCAACACATTGGGGTTAAATCCTACTTTTGTTGCTTTTATTTTTATTGTTGTCACTGTACCAGACCCTTGGTATAAAGAACTTTTAGGGTCATGTTATAAAATTCTTATACAGTAAAGTTATTTATTTATTTTGCATGTGCTGTTGCGACATTGTAGATGCAATTTGAGGATACTGTTTCTTCCGGCCGTCCTTGACTCAATTAGCTCTGATTACCTGGGTTCTCACATATGGCTATCAGGTGTTCAGCTGTTTGCCATTAGGTGAGAAACTGGCAGCAATAACTGGAGGAAGGGCTTCAAATATCCCAGTAACCTAGGCTTCTGAGTGGTCACACAATACTGCAAGGGCTGGGCCACTGTGCAAATTGCTTTGAAGCTAAGTATAGCACGAATCCAAGTAAAATCAGTAGGAAAAAAAGTGGCTCCCCTCTGTGACAATGGAGACGTTTCCCACTGTGCTGGATAGTAATCCCAATGAAGACCGAGGTAACAGCCTTTTAAAAGCTGTAATTGCTCAGCTGTAAATGGGAAACCCAGGAACAATAACCGAGCTGCAATTTCCCTTCAATGATGGAATTATTGTTGGTTTTTTTTTTTTCTTTTCACAAAATGCTTTCATGGTGTCACAGACAAACAGGAGGTATGAAAATCAATCTGTGTGGTTTTGGTGACTCCCAACATGCATAACCTGATGTTTGGCCTCTCGACGTGAGCAGGAAGAACTCCTTTGGTTACAAAAAAGATAAAGAGGATTTGAGGAGCTGTTCCTTGTTTTTGCATCTAAACAGTCTTTACTTTCCCTGCTTGTGGCCTTACTGGAGACAAGCGCAGATCAATTTCTGCGTCAGCTCCAGTCAGATGACAGGCTTGCATCCTTATACAGAGAACTAGTCTTTGTTTCTCAATGGTTCTAATGTGAACTTAACGTGAATCTACCAAGTGCTTGTGCTGTGAAGTGGTTTGTTGGGTTTTATTGCCATTCCTTCATGGAATGCTTGTTTCACTGAGTTAATAAGTTCCCTCTTGTCCTGTGATCCACCTCAGAGGTCGAGTTGGAGCCGAACGTCATTATGAGATGTCGTCTCCCCGAGCGTCTTTCGTGCAGATCAGGTTCGATGACATCCTCTTCTACGAGAACTGCGGTGGCGGCAGCTTCGGGAGCGTATACCGAGCCAGGTGGATCTCCCAGGACAAAGAGGTGGCAGTAAAGAAACTGCTCAAGATTGAAAACGAGGTAAGAGTCATCATTGTTGCTGGAGGTTTTCATATACTATTTTTTAATTGTCAGTGTAATCATTTTAATTACGCTCCCATTTAGCTGGATGTGGTGACTTCTTTTACCCATCACTCATGGTCATTATAGTCGCCCACTCTTAGAAATCTGCTGCAAAAGAAGCATTATTGCCAAAAGAAAGAACGTATTTGGCCCAATTACAGCAGAGACTGCTCTTGAAATCACTGAAAGCACAGCCTCATTGTCTTAAAGACAAAAAAAAAAAGATTTCTCTTTGAAATCTTTGGATGAAAATGTATTCCATTTGTTGGCCTTTGGACAATCAGAATATTATTCATTGTTTCCTTTATGAAAATGTAAAAGATCACAGATATCCATTCAACTTCACTCGGTTGCTAAAGAGGTGATTGTTCGCTGAAAATGATAATGTAATCCTTTCACTTTGAACCAATTGTTCCTTTAATTATACAGTGTGGCAACAATTACATGAACTTATTCTGTCAGGTTTCTGTTCATTCAGGAAACGGTTCAACGTAAAGGCAAAAAATATATTACTTTGTTTAGGGTATACTTTCCCAGGCAGTTCAAAGTCACATACTATAACATTTTCTTTAAAGTTAACGTGAATCTTCTTCAGGTTTTGACTCATTTCACTGAACATATTGTTTAGTATAATATCTATGGTAATAATATTCCAAGTTTTGACTCCAATAGGTTTTTGTATTGCTTGAAACTTTAAGAAACTGCATTTTTTGTGAAAATGCAGTGTGATGCTGAGTGTTGAAGGATTTTGCTAAAGAAGCAGAAATTGAATTGTTAAAGATAAAAAGAAGCTGAACACTATCTAAAAGCCAAAAAGAGCCAAATGCTTAGCTTAAAAAAAGAAGAAGCAAAATGCTAATTACAAGTTGAAAGTAACAAAACCCTGGGTAAAATGAGCAAACATTAGCTAAAAGCTAAAATGATCAAAAAGCTAGTATAAAGCCAATTGTATCAAAAGACTAGCTAAATGTGGTAGAATGGTAGCTAAAAGTAGCTCAAAGCTAAATGTAGCTAAACAAAAGCTAACAACTAAAAACAGTCAAGTTAAGATGGCGCAAGTAAGCTGAAGCAAATTACAGAGAAGAATGTTTTTCAAGGATCTAACGAGATCTTAATGTATTTCTATATGGAAAATATTTGTAATTAAATGTATTAATTTTAATACTAAAAGGTACAAAACCTAAACGTCTTAGCGCACATTCCCTAAATTAGCTGACTGTTTTGATGTATGATTGACTAAAATAGCACAAATTATGCAGAAGTAGTTAGATTGTAAAAAATATCCAGAAAAATAAAAATACCGGCAAACAAAAGTGTGGTTGCTGAATCAGCATTTATCTTAAGGATCTCTGGGACCTTCAGTAAAAATCTGTTGTCTCTGGATAACAATCCAGTTCTGTGTGGAGCAATTGTAAATATATATATTTTGAAGTAGTATTTTCTGGAAAGGACACTCCTTTTCTTCTTTCTCTTTCTTGCAATGGGGAAATGCTTCAGGCCAGATAGATTTAAAATAGACGATTTACCAAAAAAGCACCTGCAGCTGTTTACGCTGTTGTGGTTTTAATCATTTTTCTGACATAGCTTTAGTTTGTAAGTCTTTCAACAAAACTAGTGGTAACGCTACTCTTTTCAGCCTATCAGTAAGCTAACACCTAAACATCTTTGCTCTGGCAGGGATGCCATTAAAAGTAAACGGTAATCATATTACAGATGTTTTTATACTTTCTCTGTTGTAGTAATTGGGGAGGCCATGGAGCGAAATAACAACTTTCTGTCTCTGTGATGGTGTGCAGCATTTTCTCTGTATTTTCTTTTTTCTTGGAGCAAGCTGGCTGGGCAATTAAATGCCCACTGCGTGTTATGTTCTTCGTGCAGTCTAAGCAACACCAAAAACTGGATGCTGAATCAGAGTGAGCTGAGGTCACAAGATGGCTGTGACATTACAGCTTTACCGAGGTTCTGACAACCCGTAAACAACCATCGTTTCCTGATGCGTTCCTTCATGTTGATGCACACAGTCCAGTGCAAAAGCTTGAACTCACCCCTTCCAAAGAGCCAAACTTTCTTCTAATCTTTTTAACTTGTCTTGATCACAGGTTTTTAAGCTTCTTGAAGGTCTTCAAAGTTCTGCTTTGTCTGCTTTTTAAACTCGTTTTTCAGTTTTTGTACCTGACCATGAAAGCATGCTGTGCAGTTTGTGCAGAAAAAAAAATGTCAGGTGGACAAGCAGAGGACAAGACATTTTAGCACTTAAAAAATAAAACAGTATATTAACAGTAGCTTAAAGTCCTCACTTAAAAATAAAATAAATCCAACCAAAACCTGGCACAGGACCTGAGAGATGGATCATCTTTCATCTGATAGTAGCTTTTTTTTAGACTCAACATATTGTTGCCAAAATAATATTATATGTGTCAGTCTGCATTCTCTTAGATTCAAATAAAGAAATAGAAACAAATTGTCTGTGAGAACGTTTGCAACGTGCCTGAAAATACAAATTATAGTTGGTTCTTTGCTAAATTATCTGCTATATGTTGACACAATCCTGGTTCATTCCTTACGTTCAGGAGCATTTATTGTTTAAATACATCATAGATTAGATTTAAGTAACTTTAACAACAACAAAAGATTACAAGAATATCCAAAATTTTTCAATCAGGTCATCTGGACAGTTTCTTTTTTTGTGCTGAAACGTTTCACCTTCGATTCGGAAGGCTTCATCAGTCAAGGACATACACAACACAAAACTGATTCTTCCCCCAACAGCTTACTTCAAAGTGGAACAAACCAGTTATGTTGGTGCTAAGATGATGTCTTTGGTACGCCCCCTCCTCCTTGTGGACGTTCGTGTCAAACTGGTTGAAAACAACAAAGTCCATGCTCAATAATCCAGGTATACAGTCCAACATTTTTCAGTCAGGTCATCTGGACAGTTTCTTTTTTTGTGCTAAAATGTTTCACCTTCCATCCAGAAGGCTTCATCAGTCAAGGAAACACACAACACAAAACTGATTCTTCCCCTTCCTCCTTTGTTATTACAAGAATATCTTTCTCTTTGGAAGGAAATTATAAAGAAATGAGGGGTTGCTCAAGATATTTGCACAGTACTGTATGCAACTCCAAATGGTTTACATAAAATATAAGACATAAAACAACTTGACTTCTAACTAGTGGATTATTTTCTGACTTTTTGTCTCACACTCTTGTGTTTAAAACAACCTTCTTTAGGGACATTGTGTGACCATAATCATCAGATGATCTCTTTAAGATCCACATATTCACATGGTGGAAGCTACCGTACTTTCCGCCTTAAAAGTCGCATGTCTAATAAAGTGGAAAATAAATATAAATACTTCGCTTCGTCTTTTAAGTCGCACCTATTATGCGTCACCGCTGACCACCCGGAAACGTGGGCCGGTGTTGTGCCAAAAATCGATTGGCTGCCAAATGGCAGTCGCAGGAGCGTGCACAGGAGGACTTTAACAAGAACTTAACAAGATTAACACTTAAAAACAATTATTTGTTTGCTCAACATTATAGTAAAGGTGTGTCTCAAATCAACTTTTCCTTAATAAATACACTTTAATGGTCAAATCAGCTGCATTTTGCCCTATGCGGCGTGGCAAAATGAAGGTCCAGGAGTTCCGGAGCGAGACGAAGGTGGTTATATGGCAAGCCAAGTGTCTCATTAATAGCCACTTTTACCTATTAATGAGACAATTGGCTTGCCGTATTGCTCGAGCGCCCTCTAGCAGCTAAAAACGGTAGTGTTCAATATTTTCCATGTCAGAATGAATGAAATCGTCAGATCTCAGCCAAAAATTGGTTTTTAAATATGGGGAAAAAATGTAAAATAGTTGCTTCGGACTATAAGTTGCAGGACTTGTTAATTTATGCAAAAAGATGTGACTTATAGTCTGAAAAGTACGGTAAGACCAGTCTGGTGTCTGAATGAAATTCTCCGTATGACTCATTATTTTTTTTAAATCTTAAAGTAAATTGTCTTCCTATCTTTGTGTGTTAATCACTCAGGCTGAAATCCTCAGCGTCCTCAGCCACCGTAACATCATCCAGTTTTATGGTGCAATTGTTGAGGCTCCCAACTATGGAATTGTCACCGGTAAGTAGATGAATTATGATCTGATAACACCATCAAACTGTGATGAGACATATATAAAGACTACTGTGTTACAGCAACAGACAGGAAGTTATAGTTGGACCTTTTGAAAGTGGAGCAGAGGTTTCTGTGAAAGCAGTAATAAATGTCAGAGCTTCAGGATGTGTAAACACTCATATATGGGCAGCTGTGGCTGAGTGGTTAGAGCAGTCGTTCTCCAATGCAAGAGTTGGGTGTTCGAATCCACCAGCAGTCACATGCCGAAGTGTCCCTGGGCAAGACACTGAACCCCTCGTTGCCTTCGATGTGTGTCCCATCAGTGTATGAATGTGATAAAGCACTGATTAGTCTCTTTAGAATGGATTTGTTCAATTAGCTTTGTAGAGATCTAGTAGAGTGCTGTATGAATGAGTAAATGAGGACACAGATTGTAGTGTCAAGCGCTATGAGTATCTCGATAAGACAGAAAGGCGCTATATAAGTACAGTCCATTTACCATATAGCTGTTTGTGTGAAATATTTCTGCTGCATGCGTTTCAATCCAGGGAATGATTTTAATTCATTAACAGTGGGTTGAGAATCACTACCATGCAAAAAATAAATTCTTTCAGGTGGCACTGTGCAGTGGATGGTACTTTATCTATAATATTTTGAAATACACACTGACATCTTGATAGAGCCACTTCTGTGTCTGTACACTCAATTATACCTCCTCAAAAGGGAACAAAAGTAAATCATTTGGATTTATCACTCAGTAAATGCAGACACGTATTTTCCAGGGTGTCCGCGCATCCTGAAAATGTCTTAAATTCATGTATCTAAAATTACAGCCTTACCTGTAAATGCAGTGGTGGACACAGCTAACCAAAAAGTTAGCTTTGTTAACCCATATTCTGCTAACTAAAAAAAAAAATAGCTTTGCTAATGCTAAGCCACTAAACAGGTAAAAAATAGTGAAAACGAATGCTAGATCGCTGACCATTAAGCTGACTGTCACTCAGTTTGCATCACACGTCTTTGTCTCCTTCCAGTTTAAGCTGCGTCAACCAATCACGTCTTGCCAGGTGTTCACATAGTCAGCCAATAGTGTGCCTAGCAGATTCTTCAGGACACACCCACAACAGACGGGAACAATCTTGTGAATTTTGTTAGCGAACTTAAAGTTGGCAAAATCTAATTTAGCAGAAGCTAATTCTACTAATGGTTTCCAAAGTTAGTGAAAACACTAATCTGCTAAACAAAAAAAATTGTTTTACAGCACAGTGGCTCAGTCGGTAGAGCTGTTGCCTCTCGGCGAGAAGGTTGCCAGTTCAAATCCCGACCGGGGGCCTTTCTCGGTGGAGTTACTCAGTTACTCGGAGGTCTTAAAAATTTGTTGGGGCAGGAGATATTAAAGTTCTCCGTTGTTCTACTAGCTGCTGATATACAGTATATGCTTGCTAGCTAGCTATTCTGCAGGTAAATCATGTGCTGGTGCAAATGTATTGACAGTTGGCTGGATGACGTCTTTGACTATGAAGGCAAAACTGGAGGTTAAGACACAAATGAGCCTCGTGCCATAAATGTACTCAGTAGATTATTTTTTTGTTGGATGTTCCAACAAAATAGCAGCACTTGTTCATACTGCTATTGTATGGAGAGCCATTTCATTCAAAATTAAATAAATAGTGTTATTTAAAAATTATTAATACATATTCCAATAAATAAATAAATGCTCCCATGAAATAAAAACATTGAAATAGAAAATGTTTAGTTTTTTCCCAAGATTTATTGTTTATTTATTTCAAGATTTATTTTTATTTAATTCAAGATTTATTTATTTATTTAATAATGAAGTTTCATTTTGTGACATTTTCATTTTTTAAAGTTACTTTACACATTTCAGGGGCTTGTATATTTTAACCCCATTTTTCATTTAAAGTTCTTTTTACTTCATGTTCTTATATTCAAATGAGGGGGCGGGGTTTTCTATGTGGGGCGGGTCTGGTCATTGTCAATGCAGCCCATCTATGAGCCAGGCAAATTAATAACTAAATCAAAAATAAAAGAAACAATGGCCGCTCAAATCTCACTCATTGACAGTGAGACACACGCATTTCATGAGGTGCACACGGCACACTTTGTATTTCTCACGCTAAAAACACACACACGCAGGCCCTTTATTGAAGAGGAACCAATGTGCAGCACAATGTTTCCACACGGGCTGGAGCACAATAGCGGACATGGCTGCAGTTTTGCCAACTTAGCGAATTTCCCGCTTTATATAGCGAGTTTTCAGACCCCTCTAGTGACTTTTTTTTAAGTGACTAGCGACAAATAGAGACTTTTTTTCTGTTACTGGAGATTTTGGTGACGAAAGCACGTTCGGCAGCGGGCCGTAAGCCCCTCCCACTTCCCCAAGCTCTGGCAGCTGTCAGTTTCACAGCAGAGAGGAGACCCGCTCCACTCCGTGTCCACACTGCAAATGAATCACACCCTGGAATACAACACGGTTTGTAAATATAATGTAAATATATAATGCTCAATTTCATCAGCAAATCTTTGCGTTTCATCTCGGAGTTCTCCAATGTCCTCCATATTGGCCGCTTGTCATCCTGACTTTCTGAACACAGTTAGCAGAGCTCAGCGAGGGGAATACTTTGCTGTGATTGGTCAATAAAGATTGGAGTACGTCAGTTTCTGCAAACAGATGCAATCTGCTAATTCTGACCAGACCCGCCCCACGGAGAAAACCCCGCCCCCTCATTTGAATATAAGAACATGAAATAAAAAGCTTAAAGTGAAAAATGGGGTTAAAAAATAAAAGCCCCTGAAATATGTAAAGTAGCTTTACAAAATAAAGTGTCACAAAATTAAATTCCATTATTAAATATATAAATAAATAAATCTTGAAATAAATAAAAATAAATGCACGGTGGCGCATCTGGTAGAGCTGCTGCCTCTCAGCGAGCAGGTCCTTGGTTCAAACCCCAGTCCGGGGGCCTTTCTGGGTGGAGTTTGCATGTTCTCTCCGTGCATGCGTGGGTTTTCTCCGGGTGCTCCGGTTTCCTCCCACAGACCAAAAACATGCTTGTTAGGCTGATTGGTAACTCTAAATTGTCCCTAGGTGTGAGTGAGAGAGTGAATGGTTGTTTGTCTCGTTTGTCTCTATGTGGCCCTGTGATGGACTGGAGACCGTCCAGGGTGTACCCCGCCCATCGCACAGTGATTGCTGGACATGGGCATCAGCGACCCCCGTGACCCAAAATGGAATAAGCGGGTAAAGATAATGGATGGATGGATGGATGGATGGATGGATATTAAATATATAAATAAATAAATCTTGAAATAAATAAAAATAAATCTTGAAATTAAAAAATAAATCTTGGAGAAAAAACTAAACATTTCTATTTAAATGTTTTATTTCATGGGAACATTTATTTATTTAATGGAATATTTATGAATAATTTTTAAATAACACTATTTATTTAATTTAGAATGAAATGGCTTTCCATACTATTGAACCAGTGAGCGCTAAATATCACTTTATATTCAATAAACAGATAAAAACTAAACCTGAATGTGTCTCATTGAGTGACACATGCTATGCTTGGTTGTAATACAGCAGGAACCATTGCTTATATTTAAAGTTTGCTCAGTCTTATATTTTATTCAAGGTGGAATTAGAAAAGTCTTAAAAAGTCCTAAATTTGACTTACTGAAACCTGCAGATACTGTTGTCAGTCTTGTGTAATCTGGATTGACAGACTTTTCTCCCAATTTCCTTTTCACAGTTTACATTTTGGATTTTATTGACTCGTAAAGGTGATCTAATACTTACCATTTAAACTGCCTTGAGATTACCTAATTTGGTTTGGCACAGTATAAACTGAATAAAATGTAAATTTCTAACCACATTTTTGGTAACTTCACTTTATTTTGCTCACTAATGACAATAAAATACTGTTTAGCCATGTAAACTCAGTCAAATATGAGAAAGCAAAGTGAGAAGAGATTAGTTTAGTTTTTGAAAGGTTTAAAAACACGATCAGGGCTGTTGATGTCAGTTGAGAGCTCTGAAGAAATCATTACATAAAGGAATCCAGTTATACGAGTAAGGTGAAGGCGCATTAGGGACTTTTGTCAGGCGTAAACAAATCTAGGATGTTAAAGAAAGGGCCCTGTCCAAACATTATCAGAAAGTAAAAGTCTGAAAGAATAATCTGGAGATATTGGATGCACAGCAGGTGCAAAAAGCTGGAAACCTTAGTATTAGGAGGAAAGACTCACATGACTGCTCTTATATGTATTTTCTCATCTAATATGTGACTGTAGAACAAATTGAACCAAATTAAAGTATTTAAATTGCTGAGGTTTTCCAGAGGAACTTGAAAGAAGCATGCTCAGTCATGTTTGCTAAAGGTTTCTGGCACAAGTGACGTCAAAAAGGAAGGGACACGTTATCCTCTGTTGTTAAATGACGTTTAGAGAAAAAAAAAATGCTGTCATGAAGAGAACAGTTTCTCATGTGACAGAGACAAGGCCAAACTTCCCAAAGGACTTACCGGAGCAGCAGCCCAAGGCCTTGAGGTTTACAGGGCCCCAAAATAGTATTATTGTTTTTAATGATTGGATATTTTCCAACCACCTTGCTTTATTTAAATCCAATGAAGTGCAAACCCACATTACTGGAAAACATTACATGTGTTGAAGCCTTTATTGATTAACAACTGCCTAATGGATTTTGATAGTCTTTTTTTTTTTTTCTCCCTTCATGGTTTCTTACAGTTTTAAAATCAGTAAAGTACTAGTAGTTTTATTAAATGACTTTACTTTATGTACCATATTGAGTTGTAAATATTCTTATTATATTTTGAGTTTAAGTACAGAAACAGTTCAGATTCACTTGTGCAGCGATGGCAACTTAAAAACTAAACTCTGACAGAGTTTTTTAAAAATTTTTTTTTATAATTTCAGATGTTTTTTGTCTCCTGTGCTTCTGACTTTAAATAATACTCTGCTTT